CCCCAGGGCAGTGCTACTGACTGAAGTGGCTTAAGGCCATTCACAAAGGGGGGATATAAACACGTTCTTAAGCAAAAGAGCTGATTTATCAATGGTATGCTCATACTGTGCCGGAACAACATGCTTTTTCTTTCCTTACTACCGTCATTTCCCCCCTACTTCTTTTGTATGTTTGTCACTCTCTTGTGAACTGCTGTTTTCGGGGTGCCTTGATAGTCGAAGCAGACTTTGTACTTTTAAGGCTCGAGAGGTGAGCAGAGTAAGCCTGATTCCCCGTTTGGGATTTCTCTGTTGATATCCACCTCTTGGCGCTCATATGACCTAATGCAGTTGAAAGCACCGCAGAACCTTACTTTAACTAAAACAAAGTATCTCTTGTGACTCACCCGCGATCCTCTCCTTCTTATGCACGTGCCCCATCCCGGCCTGTGCGTCTCTGTCCGGCCAGGACTTGAAGTACTGCTTGAACAACGGCGTCTCTCCGTCCTCCACCAGCTGAGTGACCGGTGTCCAATCTGCGTAACCCCTCAGTGAGAGGAAGTCCTAGTCACAGGCAGGAAGAACATGGTTATTAAAAAAGGAATTACAAAAAAAAACACATTGGAATTGATAATGAATATTACCAAAAATAATTTATTATGGAATAATATAAATTAAAAGTGATAACAGCAAAAAAACAAACAAACAAACAAACAACAAACTCATTTTGATAGGCCTGTTTAGGATAGCCACAGTCCGCGTAACCTCTCACAGACAGGTAGAGACAGGAAGTCCTGGACACACAATGTAGGAACATGGTAATAAAAATCCCGAATTTATTAAATTATTAGAATTGATTTTGAATAATATGAACATTGTCATAGAACATTATTGTAAATTACAAGTGATGATAGTAGCAAATTAAAAATAAAAAACGAACTCATTTTGATAGCCCTGTTTAGGGTAGCTACGGTAAAAATAATGTGTTTCACTATCCATGCATAGCTGCCAAGATGACCTAGCTCAAAAACAGAACGTTGAGCAGTGACAAAAAGTAATGGTGTATGGATTAGTCTATGTTTCTGATTATATTGTATGATGTACTGGAATAAGTTTTGATGTGTTGATTTATGCGTTAACATTTAAAAATTGGCGTATTTATGTACGCTATTGTAAAAAACTACAACAACCCAAACAAACAAAAGCAAAATACCAAGGGGAAAAAACTTTTCAAGGGGACAGTAAAATGGAACTTATTTTTTGTTTATAGAATTAAACATTTACAAGCCGGGCAAGGTTACACTAGTAGGTGACTGGCGGGTGCTCTGGTGTGGTTTGCTCCTTTTTTCCTATCAACATCTATCATCCCTATCTCCCCTCCTTTTTGTTCTTGTTACTCATTTATAAAACCTCTTATCTTCGGCACCTATATGACCTATTGGGTTGCAAGTGCCGTAAAACCCTTACTAAACCTCAACTAAAGGTTACTCGACTTACTGTAGCGTGTTTCCAAGCTGACTGTTTCTCGTTCCTGGTGCACTTCCGGCCCACCCAGACAAATATCCCGCTGGGGCCGGAGTCCAGAATGAAGCAATCCTGAGGAAAAGTGGGATGTTGTGGCACTGGATGATGATGATGATAATGATGGTGATGATGATGATGATGATGTAATGATGATGATGATGATGATGATGGTGATGATGATG